AGTTTTCCCTCATGTTTAATTATGTTTATTGATCCCAGGTGTTTCTCGTCATCCCCTCGTCATGTCTTGTGTATTTAAAGTTTTTCCTGTTCTGAGTTTGCTGTCTGGTATTGAATGTAGTCTCTCCCCGCTACGTGTGTGTTCCTGGTTCCTTTGATGTCAAATAAAGTCTGTTCGTTGGAAGTTTACTCCTCGTCTTCTCGTTCCTCGCTCCATGCTCCTCACAGTAGCGGTACGTGACAGAATACTGGACCTTAAACAGTAAGCGGTGCCCCTACTCTTCGTGTTTTTTGTTTCCAGTTTTGAAAGTGTTTTCTTTTGGTTATTCTAATGGATCCCCTCGAACGACTATGTTCAATTTACCAAGCCAGCCGTCCCCTGGAGGAACATGTCTCTGAATGCCTCACCTGCTCTCAGCAGGCTTCCCTTGACCCGTGGACACTTATGGACTGTTTCTAGGGTGGTCTGGATGAGGGGATAGCAAAGCGGATGCCACTGGGCGGGTCCAGGTGGACCCTGCCCGATTACATCAACCTGGCCCAGTTCCTCAGCGGATCTCATCTCCTCGCCACCAGCACAGAAGCATCACCCATTAAATCCATCAACCCCCTGTCATCACCCATCATGGCTGTTCCTCAGTCTAGCCCGCCGGACGTGCTGTTCACCCTTAACCAAAGGAGGAGGATGAGGAGGAAAAGAAAGTTCTCAGCCTCATCCCAGCCCCTGAGCCAGCTCCAGTGTCGGCTCCAGTCCCAGAGCTCACTCCAGTGTGGGCTCCAGCCCCAGAGCTCGCTCCAGTGTCGGCTCCAGCCCCTGAGCCAGGCCCAGAGAGGGCTCCAGTCCCAGAGTTTAGCCCAGAGAGGGCTCCAGTCCCCGAGTTTAGCCCAGAGAGTGCTCCAGTCCCCGAGTTTAGCCCAGAGAGGGTTCCAGTCCCCGAGTTTAGCCCAGAGAGGGCTCCAATCCCCGGGTTTAGCCCAGAGAGGATTCCAGTCCCCGAGTTTATCCCAGAGAGGTCTCCAGTTTTCACATCCAGCCCAAGGAGGGCTCCCGTTTCCACGTCCAGCCCAAGGAGGGCTCCAGTCCCCAAGTCAAGTCCAGGGAGGGCCACAGTACCCGAGTCAGGCCCACGGAGGGCTTTAGGGGTTGATATTTTCCCCAAGTATTTTGGGGGGGGAGGTTATAGGGCTCTGGCTGTAGAGGTCAGGCTGAGTGCCGAGGCCAAGGCCACGGAGGCCGATCCGCCATGGCTTCCTAGTCTGCCTGCTCCGCCATGGCCTCCTAGTCTGCCTGCTCCGCCATGGCCTCCTAGTCTAGAGGTCAGGCTGAGTGCCGAGGCCAAGGCCACGGAGGCCGATCCGCCATGGCTTCCTAGTCTGCCTGCTCCACCATGGCTTCCTAGTCTGCCTTCTCCGCCATGGCCTCCTAGTCTGCCTGCTCCGCAATTGGTTTCCTAGTCTGCCTGCTCTGCCATGGCTTCCTAGTCTGCCTGCTCCGCCATGGCTTCCTAGTCTGCCTGCTCCACCATGGCTTCCTAGTCTGCCTTCTCCGCCATGGCCTCCTAGTCTGCCTGCTCCGCCATGGCTTCCTAGTCTGCCTGCTCCACCATGGCTTCCTAGTCTGCCTTCTCCGCCATGGCCTCCTAGTCTGCCTGCTCCGCAATTGGTTTCCTAGTCTGCCTGCTCTGCCATGGCCTCCTAGTCTGCCTGCTCCGCCATGGCCTCCTGAACTGTCTGCTCCGCCATGGCCTCCTAGTCTGCCTGCTCTGCCATGCACGAGGTGGCAACTGCCACCCTAAGAAAAAGCTGTGCCACCCCACCTGCCACCCCAGAATTATCACAGAATAAAATATAAATGTAACCAGTGCTTTATGTGCTACTTTTCAGATGCGGCGATGACGGAGTACCGCAAAATAATGGCAAAAACACGTCTTTTAATAAACTGTGCACGATGGTTGCACGCGCAGGATATGTCTGAGATTCATCACGTAATTGTTTGGTGATCCGATTCTCCGACTGCTTGCTCCACTTTCATCATGTAAGTCGTAACAATAACATGAAATCAATAAGAAGATGCCGCTAATAGCAGAGTTAGGAAAGAATATAGTTGTATTGCAGTTTTCTCGATTGTTAATATAACTGATTTTAGTTGGC